TTCAGTGTTCAGAAGCCCAGAGACCCATTCCTCCATCAACTCTGACCCAGAAGGCTGCTTTTCTTGTTGCCTTCATCTCGGCTGGGCCAGGGTCTGATGTGGCAGCTTTATCCTGCAAAAAAAAAGTCATAAAGACGGTGGTGTTGAGGTCCAGTCCTTTCTTTCCCCTCCTCATCATGATGTTGTTCTTCCATCCCTCTGTCCAGCTCCTTTCAGCCACTGCTTCTTTTACAAGAACTGACTCTCTTTTTGTCACAGTGAATGGGCCCAGGAAGGATGCTCCATTTTCTTGTCCTCCCATCTCTAGGTGGTTCAGACAGACCATTGTTCAGCCTTATGGTCCTCTTCATCTATTTGGCATCAGGCCTCTGTTTCCCAGATTTACAAGGCTGGCGCCTGGACTTCTGCTCAATGTTCTACCCGTTACGTGTTTCTGCCTCATCTGGTGCCATCTTGGAGCATAAGGTCCCTTAGGTGGCTCTTTGAGCTGCAGGCGGTTCTCTTTTCTTTGCCTGTTAGCGCTGTTTTCTGTGTTGTCCACCCCTCAGTTGTCTGCTTTTGGACATCCCGATTGATTTAAGATTTCCTGTGTTCCCCTAATGGATGAGAAAATAGGATTTTTGTACTTATCCTTTTTCTCTGAGACAATTGAGAGAGACAAGTCCTGCTCCTCATGCTTTTGGTACTACTTTGCTACAAAACCGTGACATGCTAGTAACGGGAGCCGTTGTACCCCGGGCAGGCCTACAGTATTTTGCTTGTTGCTCTGGCACTTACTCCGCCATTTTTCTATTACTGTGAATAGAACTGTGACTGCAGTGCCAAGGAGCCCCCAGCAGGTGGAGCCCATGCACTTCCCTCACCCTGCTCCCAGTAATCCCTGGCAGTCGGTTTCAGAGATCTTCTGGTACACGATGATGGGCTGGTTGCCAGTGCTGGCATGAGAACAAAGCGCGATGGTCTTATGACATTATAATGCAAGGATTGTGGAAATACTTGTGTGTAAATGTAACAGTAATAGAGTCATCAATTAAAACAGACCGTGCATGAAAAAGTGACCTTTTAACACGGTAAACTACTTTTGTCCACTTAAGGTGGTAGAAGAATATATATAAAGAACCCGGCCCGCTTCTGTATGTCCAACGATAAGGCAGCATGAAGTGACCCAATACTAACACAATTCCCGCACCAGCAGTGATTGAAGGCTGAGGCTATCCCAGATAGAGGCACTAGCCTGGTTCCTGCACCAGCAGTGATTGAAGGCTCATTCCTAGCCTGGCCCCTGCACCAGCAGTGATTGAAGGCTCATTCCTAGCCTGGTTCCTGCACCAGCAGTGATTGAAGGCTCATTCCTAGCCTGGCCCCTGCACCAGCAGTGATTGAAGGCTCATTCCTTGCCTGGCTCCTGCACCAGCAGTGATTGAAGGCTCATTCCTAGCCTGGCTCCTGCACCAGCAGTGATTGAAGGCTCATTCCTAGCCTGGCTCCTGCACCAGCAGTGATTGAAGGCTCATTCCTAGCCTGGCTCCTGCACCAGCAGTGATTGAAGGCTGATCCCTAGCCTGGTTCCTGCACCAGCAGTGATTGAAGGCTGATCCCTAGCCTGGTTCCTGCACCAGCAGTGATTTGAAGGTTGATCCCTAGCCTGGTTCCTGCACCAGCAGTGATTTGAAGGTTGATCCCTAGCCTGGTTCCTGCACCAGCAGTGATTGAAGGCTCATTCCTAGCCTGGCTCCTGCACCAGCAGTGATTGAAGGCTGATCCCTAGCCTGGCTCCTGCACCAGCAGTGATTGAAGGCTGATCCCTAGCCTGGCTCCTGCACCAGCAGCGATTGAACGCTGATCCCTAGCCTGGCTCCTGCACCAGTTGTAAAGTGGCTTCAGACTCCACGAGCCCAGGTCTGGCTTTTAAAAACCAATTTCACCCTGAGGAGGGAGCCACCTGCGTGAACTCCATAATACATAAGGGGGGCAACTAGAATGTGTTCCAACTGAGAGAAGAAGTGAGCAAGTACTTTGTCCAATGAAACGAGTAGCAGCAGAGGGGGTGCAAAGTATTAACTTCGAAACCCTAAGCTGACACGGAAGGACCAGTGCTTAAGGGAATGGTGGAGCCCTTGGGGGTGGAGCAGGTTGTTAGGTGTAGGCCCTCCTGCGAGGACAGGATTATACTCCTTGGTCTCCTATGGACTCTCCCCCAAGAACTCAGCAAGGAACAAATTTTATAGTGAGTACCCCACCCGCAGATCTCACGTGTCATGTCTGAGCTGCTGAAGTGAGATAAAATGTCCTCTTCTCCACAAATCGTATGCTTAGAAGTGTTGTAAAGAACTTTTCTTTGTTTAGTTTTTGAGGGACACATAAGACCAGTGGCAAGCCCGGCCTAAAAGGATTTTGCTGTGAGGTAATTCTGCTGAGCCACCAATCTTCTAGTGTCTGAAGTCTCCCATGTTTTTAGGGGCAGTGAGGGCACCATGCAGTCAGAAGGTAAGCTCTGTGTACATTAAAGGGAGAATGCAGGCCATGTGTATGTTAGACAGGGGCCCCTGGAACCCTGGCATATCATCATATTAAGGGGAAGTGGGGAATAGTATAAAAGGAATGTGCCTCGGATATTATAGACTGTGAGCACCTTTGATTGATCCATCACTCCCTTGCTACATGGAGTCCATCCCAACACATAGTGAAAGGGTACCGGGGGGTGCCCCTGGGGGGGGGGGGAGTTCCTATCCTGTGATGAGGAAATGGAGACGGTGAGAGGTGCTGACTGGATAGTAGAGGTTAAGCATGTGCTGACAACGTCTGATGTTAATGAACTTACTGCTTTTGATATGTTTAGGTTTCTGCTAAGGTTGCTTTAAATTGGTATGGGATAGTGTCTACGGGCAGGATTTGTGCTCATGGTATTGTATGACTGTCTCACTGGTCTACTAGGAGTATACACTGGTCTACTAGGAGTATTCTACTAGGAGTATACACTGGACTACTAGGAGTATACACTGGACTAACACCATCAGCTTCAAGTGTGGACATTTGGCCAGGTGATGAAACTGGAAGATGACCTTTAACGCACTTTGCTTGTAAGCCCAAGCGGCAAGTCTCTTACACAAGCAAAGCTGTGGATGTTTTTAGCAGCAATATTGTACACTCCTTAAACATTCAGGATCATGAGGACAATGCTGCCTGTTGTCTAGTCTAGAGATTAGGTTCCCGAGGACAGGGTTTCCTGGTCCTAATCTAAAGATTGGACTCTCGATGACAGTGCTTCCTGTTCTCTAGAGATTAGGCTCCCGAGGACAGTGCTCCCTGTTCCCTATTCTAGAAATTAGGCTCCAGGGGACAGTGCTTGCCGGTCCCTAGTCTAGAGATTGGGCTCCCGAGGACAATGCTTCCCGGTCCCTAGTCTAGAGATTTGGCTCCAGAGGACAGTGCTTCCCGGTCCCTAGTCTAGAGATTAGGCTCCCGAGGATGGCGCTTCCTGGTCCCTAGTCTAGAGATTAGGCTCCTGAGGACAATGCTTCCCGGTCCCTAGTTTAGAGATTAGGCTCCCGAGGACAGTGCTTCCTGTTCCCTAGTCTAGAGATTAGGCTCCCGAGGACAGCGCTTCCCAGTCCCTATTCTAGAAATTAGGCTCCAGGGGACAGTGCTTCCCGGTCCCTAGTCTAAAGATTGGGCTCTCAAGGAAGGTGCTTCCTGTTCTCTTGTCTAAAGATTGGGCTCCCAAGGACGGTGCTTCCTGTTCTCTTGTCAAGATTAGAATGACACCTTTATAATTTTTCGTTGGACTTTATAGGTATAAAGATAGACTTTCATTATCAAACACGCCCCGCTCTGTGACTTGTGTACCACACGATCTTTTTCAGCCTGAATAAAGTACAATTTTAATTTGTTTAACCAAAAACTGTGCAGCATGAAGCAGAACTATTAAACTATATACAATATATACATAGAATCGCGACCTAAAACACAGAACATTTGGAACAAATTGACATCAAGAAACACATAACAACATTTTCAGGTCTGACATTCCTAGGAAAGGTTCTGAGGTGCCGGCGGCATCAGCGAGTCTTTGTCCAGTTCAATGTGCTTATTACTGTGCAGTTCTGTTGTGGAGGGAAGCTACAACGTGCACAGAAAGGGGGACACAGGGCAATATAGACTAGACAAACGAGCTTCTGCTCACAGGCTGTAACATAAAATTGGGCATCCAGTGTTTTGTGATAAATAGAGAAAATTCACACAGCATCACTCTCGCTACATACACAGAGTTCTCTATACAACGGATCGTTCTGGAATGTCTTACTAATGCTAACACCTCTCACCCTTACACCTGCTACAACTCAAAACACTTTTGGGTCAAGATGGCCGAGAGCTACTTGTGCAGGCTCCTCTTATACCCGCTTTCGGGTCAGGCTGTCTAGTAGTTAGTTGTGTAGGTTCCTGGCACAACCGCTTTGGGGTCGGGGTGCCTGCTAATTGGTTGGATTAGGGTCCTTCAACAATGACACTGGATATCTGGTGGTGAATTGTGGAGACCCCTTCCATAACCTTGTCTGGGTTGGGATGCCTGCTAATTGGTTGGGTAGGGTCCTTCCACAATGGGACTGGATATCTGGCGGTGAGTTGTGGAGACCCCTTCCATAACCTTGTCTGGGTTGGGATGCCTGCTATTTGGCTGGATAGGGTCCTTCAACAATGGGACTGGATATCTGGTGGTGAATTGTGGAGACCCCTTCCATTACCTTGTCTGGGTCGGGATGCCTGGTAATTGCTTGGGTAGGGTCCTTCAACAATGGGACAGGATATCTGGTGGTGAGTTGTGGAGACCCCTTCCATAACCTTGTCTGAGTTGGGATGTCTGCTAATTGGTTGGCTAGGCTCCTCCAAAAATGGGTAAGGATATCTGGAGGTGAGTTGTGGAGACCCTTTCCATAACCTCGTTTGGGTCAGGATGACTGGTATTGAGTTACGAAGGACCATTCAACAAGCGTTAGTGGTTCAGGATGTCTGGTAGTGAATTGTTAAGGCTCCTTCCATAACGGCTTCTGCGTCAGGAGGCCTGGTAGTGAGTTGTGTAGGCTCTTCCCATACAGTCTCCCAATGATTTGGAGTCTCTTGTGTTGAAGTGGGTCTTGGAGCTGCTGTTGGACAGCCCCCTTTGCCGTAAAGGTCCATGTTAAAACAACCTCAGTTCCTCTCTGTCTGCGTCCGTGTCTTCTGCCGACGTGTGGGCGGGCACTGAGCCAGGGGTGGGAGCAGGGTTGGGGAAGAGGTCAGTTTTTCTAGCAGTTCTCGGGGTAATACGTTTAGTCTGACTTTCCCACGTGACCTTCGGAAGCCATTTTCTGTCCCCAGGCAAGTGTACAAACCGGCGTCATTTGTCTGCACCGAGCGGAGAATTGCTCCTCCCTCCATGGCATGAAGTCGTACCTAATGAATAGACATATTTATTAAAAGATGAATAAATGGCTGCTCTGAATTTCAGTTTGTTTGCCCCAGGCTCAGTTATGTGAGGAAGCTGGTGGCCAAATGTGCTTAAAAATATCATTGTGAAATTGTAAGTTCCCCGACTCCCAGAAAGTGCTCTCTGGATTCCCAGTTCACCTTCTTCCACACATGTTCCAGGGGAAGGTGGTCTCCAATATCACCAGAACAACATCCACCCCTGTATATCACAAGGTATGGTCATACTAGACATGGTGGCACTGGCATGACAATCGTGGTGGAGTGTCAGACCTTTGTCCTGCAGGCCATTCTATACAACACATTGTTTCATGTCATGTCAAGATTCTAGGAGACCTTGACAGTTTTTCAAGTTTGGGTAAGACTAGGGATGCACCCATATTGGTTTCTCGGTATCGAGTACCGATATTGTTTTCCCGGTACGTACCGATACCGACTACCGATACCAGTGCCATGTGTCCCAATTATCAGGAAGTCAGGAGGCAGATCATGACCCATTGCCCGGCTTCCTGATTGCCTGGGAAGCGGGAGTGAAGAGCACCGGCTTCACTTGCCGAGGCTGCCTGGCTTCCTGACGAATCAGGAAGCCGGCTCATTGCGTGACGCCTGGCTTCCTGATTGGTTAGGAAGCCATGCCGCCTAGCAACAAGTGAAGCCGGCTTCCTAGTCTATCAGGAAGCCGGGCGGCACGACATGACCCGCCTTGGCTAGGAAGCCAGCTTCACTTGTTGCTAGGCGGCATGGCTTCCTGACCAAATCAGGAAGCCGGGATGCGAGTCATGACATGTTGCCCGGCTTCCTGATTGGTTAAGAAGCCAGGCTGTCTACCAACAAGCAAAGCCGGCTTTCTAGCCAAGCAGGGAGGCGGAACCCACCAGCCAGCTTCCTGATTGGAAAGGAAGCCAGGTCCATGTTCCCTTGGCACTGTTGGTAAGAGGGAGATCTCTGACCGGAAGTTCCGGTATCGGTAAGTATCGGAGCATTTAGGCAAGTACGAGTACCCGCCAAAATACTAGTATCTTCCAAGACCGGCAGTGGCAGCCTCCGCCCCCCTCCCTTCCCCTCCCCCACGCTCCTGAGGTCATTATTATTATTATTATACAGGACATCAGATACAATGTAATTTCCATGAGGCCCACTGATGCCATCACGAACAATGCAGGACCCATAGCTGAGGGACACTTACCTCCTTGCCACCACGCCTCCTCCATACTACCCACTCCCTCTGGTAATAGCATCTGCCACCTACCTCACCCTATTCGTTACCCGGTTACAGATACTCTGTCTCCTTCCCCTCCCCCTCCTGGAGCTGGCACACTTTTGCTAGTTCTTGTAAAAAACTGTTTTTGCAGAACAACCCCTCAAAGTCAATATGTCGGATTCCCTCGGTCACGGCGGCTCTGCCAGCTACAGGAACTTGGAGGACGAGCTGTGTCACGTCCACATGCTGTGCTGACAAACGTTCTCCCCGCTGCCCCCCCTAATCCTACTATGGAGATCCGAGATTGTTCCGGTGACAGCAGATGCGCCGCGAGCGCAACATACGGGAAGAAACGTCAGTCTGGAGAAGCCGTGACGTCGGGTCTCAGCTGGTTGTCTGAATGGACATCCCGTGGAAGAGACCTCGGACGTGGCAGCGGCTGGCTCCGGGCCGGGGTTCCGAAAGACAGGAAATGAGAAGAAGAGATCGTCATATTTCCTTTCAATCGGAGCAAACGTTAACCCCTTCATAGCTGGGAGGGTGTCGGGTCTGGATGGTCAGTGTCAGTCAACGCGGGGGGCTT